TTGTTGAGGATAATGACCTCCCTGAGCCAGTGAGTTCAAGGACAAAATGAGCATGTCACTGGTTGCTAAGATCTCCCTGGACTGAAGGCTGTGTTCTTCTTCACAGCAGTACCCAGCTTGCTAATGCTAATTCAGTGCTGGTCACTAGCTCTGTTTAAGTATGGGAAGACTTGAGAAACATCTCTTTCCTCGAAGACTAAAGCTAACAGAAGCCCACAGGGCTGGAGAGATGGCTCAGTGATTAAGAGCACTGACTGTTCTTCCAGAGGCCCTGGGTTTGGTTCTCAGTACCCATGGGGTAGCTCCCAGCTACCTGTAACTCCAGTTTCAGAGAATGCATTGCCCTCTTCTGACCTTGTAGGCCTCAGGTATGCGTGTAGTACACAGACACACATGTCGGCAATATATTCATACACATTGATTACATTAAAAATGTGCACCAAGGGTGAGCAACAACTGAGCAGGTTTAGTATTGAACAAAGGCTTGCTGTTATTTTATATAATATTTCCTTCACTCCTCATCCCAAACATCATGGTTCTTCTTATTTTGTGTGTGTGCACATGTGTGTGTGCGTGTGTGTGTGTATACATGCATATGGAGACCAGAGAACAACCTTGAGTATTGTTTCTCAGGTGCTATTTACCTTTACTTTTTTGAGACAGGATCTGTCATTGGCTGGAACTCACTAAGCAGACTTGACTGGTTGACCAGTGAGTTCTAGGGATCTGTCTATCTCTGGGTCCCCAGCATTAGGATTACAAAAAGGAGGCCCTAATGCCCAGTTTATTTCCTGTGGACTTTGGGGATGGAACTCAGGTCTTGGGGTTTTCAAAGCAATCACTTTAACAACACACACCCCTTCCCCTAGCTCCCTTCCCTTTTTCCCCTTTCTCTTCCGGCTCCTCCCCCCGCTTTTATATTGGATAGCATCTCCTAATACAGCCCAGGCTGGCCTTGTACTGGTGATTCTCCTGCTGTACCTTTCCAATGCTGGGATTGCAGGTCTGTACTACTATACTGGACAAAATGATAAATCTTTTCTTTTCTTTTTCTTCCCAGGCTTTCTCTCTGTAGCTTTGGAGCCTGTAGACTGAGCTGGCCTCGAACTCACAGAGATCTGTCTGCCTCTGCCTCCCAAGTGCTGGGATTGGAGATGTGCACCACTACCGCCCGGCCAAAATGATAATTCTAAAGCCGACTTTGTAATGGAGGAAGCTGAGGCCTGAGATGTGGATGACTACAAGTCGTCACACCAGAAAAAAGGGCAGTAGCTTCCCCAGCCCACTCAGGGATAAAGAGATCTCATTATGCCTGCCTTCCGTGGTATATTTGGGCTTAAGTGATGACCACTCAAGGACACACAATCCCATCTTAAAACATTGTTCTGAGTATTCTAATTAACAGAATGGTTTTTTTAGCAGGCTTTCTCTCTGCATCTGACTTTCTGCTTTTTCATTTCTAGTGACTGATTTATTTTCTCTTCTTACAGATTCTGTTGTCTTTGGATTTATCAGAATCTCTGGATGTGAGGAGCTAGCTCACTGAGATAACTGGTGTTGGTACAGCTCAAAGGTCTACATAGACAAAGTATTCTTAAGGAAAAAAAGTGAGGTAACTCTGGGAGTACATTGGATAGCTGTTCAGTTTTTTGTTAGGTTCTTTATTTTCTGAACAAACAGAAAATAGTGTTTGTCTTTGATATCCAGCCTGGAAAACCTGTTTGGCCAATAGACAATAATACATGGCCAAAGACACATCTATCAGTTGAACTAAAACATGAAGAAACTGGGACGTGGATTGCAAAATGTCAGTTCCCCATGGCTTTGTGAGTAGAAATGACTCAAAGCCTAAAACACATAGCTCCCTGGGGCTGAGTTTCCATTCTTCTCTGGTCAGTTCGCAGATGCTCAGCCTCCATCTTAGCATCCCATGCAAACAGTTTCTTCTTTTTCCTGAAGCTGGACTCCTTGTATAATACACAGAGCTCTGGATAATTAAACGGAATCACGAATTCTATTTGTATCTTTGCTGTGTACCAGCTGAATGAAGCTGGTGACCTCTGCAAGTTTCCAGTAACTCGGTATTCAAATGAGTAAGAATGACGTGAAAGACAACTTTCACTGGCCTCAAACAAGGGGTTTGTATCTGTGGAAACTTAGAAGATGGTCTTAATTCACTTGTTCTTTGACCATCTTAGGCTTGGCAGAACTAGCATGTGACAGGTGTTATTTGTGGGGGATATGGTGGGACAGGATCTTGCCTTGCAGCCCTATCTGGCCTAGAACTCATGATCTCTTTTGCTTTAGTCCCCTGGGTGTTGGTCTTATAGTCTGGTGCCACAGGTGTGGCTCCCCTAACAACAGGGCCATATCCCTTTTCACAACAGGCCAAAATCTTCATCGGGTCTTTTTGTATCTGGCCTTTTATCATGATGGACTGCCTTAGATAACATCCATTTTCATGGAGATAGCCCCTCTACTTGTTTATTGTTTGCTTGATGGTTTGTTCATGATTTTGTGTGCCGGTGCCCTTCAAGGCCAGAGGGGTCGCATCCTCTGCAGCTGGAGTGGCAGTCAGTTGTGAACCACTGACCTGAGTGCTGAGCAATAAACTCAGGTCCTCTGGAAGAGTTGTGAGTACTCTAAACCACTGAGCCACCTCTCCAGCCCCCCTCATCTCAGAGGACAGTTTCTAGAAGTTCAAGGAGCCTAGTCTTCTTATGGAAAACATTCACTTGAGAACACTAAGTCAGTGGCCTACTTCTGGCCTGTCCATTCCCATCTAAGAGTTTCTTTCCCTTTCTTTAGACAAGCTCTAGACCTATCCTAGGCTGCTCCCAAACTTCTGGGCTCAACAATGGCTCTGCATCAGCCTTCGCAATAGATAGGATGGCACGTATACCACCATGCCTTCCTTTTCATTTTTAATAAATGCTTGCATCCCCCATCTGATCTCAATACCCCACTTAAGCGTTCATCTCACTTAAGATGAGAACTTCTTCAGCTTGGTTGTCTTCCAGAGTTGATGCTTGGTGAGTCTGTCTAGCCTTGTTAGTCTCATGCATATTCCTGTGTTTATGTGTACGCATGTGTACATGTATGTGTGTGGATGTGTCTATGTGTTATGTATACGCATATGCCTGTGCTGGAGTCTGCTTGGGAGTAGAATAGTGGAGGCTTCCCTCACCCCCTTGCTCCTTGGCAGGCAGCATGGGTCTAAAAACTGTGGTCTACCATTTTACTGTCGGTTGTAGCTTTCTAGGGATGACATTGCTAAATATCAACAGGAAAATCTATGCCTCTGGAAGGAAGTCATTTGTAATCGGAAGGCTGCTCTTTCATTCCCGACTGCCCAGACCCAAAATAATTACACAGAAGCTATATTATTTAAAACCCTGCTTGGCCAATAGCTAAAGTATATTGCTAGCTAGCACTTATATCTTAAATTAGCCCATTTCCACTATTTTATATTTTACCACAAGTCTTGTGGTTTACTGAGAAGGTTCTGATTCATCTGTCTCCTGTAGCACACTCTCTCTGACTCCGCCCACCCTCTCTCTACATCTTTGTTTGGATTTCTGGCTTTACTCTGTTAAGCCATTGGCTGAAAGCAGCTTCTTTATTAACCAATGGTAATAGAACATACTCACAGCACACATCACCTCCCATATCAGTCACTGCCTGTGTTTGACAGGCTATCTATTTAATTTGAAACCTGAGTCCCCATTCATAAAATCTACCTAAAGCCATTGACTACCTCTCTGACTGGATTCTCTGCCAGCTGATCCTTGACTGGCAGCTTCCAGATGCTTCACACAGACCCACAAAGCTCTTTATTTCTTTGGCTTTCTACACATCAGCCCAGAGTTCTGTATTTCTAAAAGCCTCTTTATTAGCGAACATTTCAAGGTTTCTGGAAAAGTTATTAATGGAATCTCAGAATATTGCTCAGGCTGGTCACCAGCTTCAGGCTTTCATAATCCCAAGGCTTCAACCTTCCGTGTAGCTACAGGTGTGTAGCATCATACCAGATTTATGATGCCGGTGTTTCTTTATGTTAACACTTTATTCCCATATTAGGTGGGTAAAGGAGATATCAACAATGAACTGCACAAGTCTGTGCCTCTTCAGAAAACAACAGTGCTTCCATTGTCTTATTGCAAGTCTGGATTGTCACAGTCCACTGTTGCAGAGACTGGGCTTTCCTGCGCCAGTGACAGGAGCAGGTGTGGGACGGCCCATGGAGAACTCAAGGCTCCCTCCAGGGTGCTAGAAAATCCCCATGATGATGGAAAACTGGCTATGGGGGGTCACTGAAACTTTCTAAATGGAGGCTGGATGGCATAATCCTGAAGTTGGTACACAGAGGATGGAGGTACACGGAGGATGGAGGGAGGTACACGGAGGTTGGAGGGAGGTACACGGAGGATGGAGGGAGGTACATGGAGGATGGAGAAACACGGAGGATGGAGTTACACGGAGGTTGGAGGGACACGGAGGATGGAGGTACACGGACGATGGAGGTACACGGAGGATGGAGGAAGAGGATGGAGGTACACGGAGGTTGGAGGTACACGGAGGTTGGAGGTACACGGAGGAT